TCTTGTTCTCATCATGAGACGTTCCTAATCTGCTGAACACACATCCCACCCTTCCCATCTACTGCCTCTCTCCATCCTCTGCTCCACTGACCTCTGACTGCTTCCTGCTCTCTGACGAGAGTCCAGCTGCAGCTTCCCCTGTGTGGTTTGGCAGGGAGGGATGAGTTTAAAACCTTATCCACTCCCAGTTAATCATATCTTTAAGGTCTTCCTAAAGAAGGTGACATACCATAGTGTGCTTCAGAAAGAACTATGGAGAACTCTTTGGAGGCGTGGCGTGTCTGCAGAGAGGGGGCTCTTGGCCAAACTTCCCACCCTAAGGTCTGCATCTCCCCACCAACCGGGCACTCACTCTGACTGAGAAGCAATTATCTATTTCAGTTTTTTCCCCCTGGAAGAAGTGTCTCCTCTGCACTGTTATGGAGACTGGATAAATGAGACAGAGAGATGAGGGCAGGAATGAGCAGGTGGCAGGAGTTGGCTGCCGAGTTACCTTTGTGATCCATCTCTGCAGACGCCTGTGTTAATTCCACAGGGACTCAGCAAGACTGATACACAGCTGTGACAGTTTGAACATCTCAACATGACCTTGGATGTGCCCAAAACCGCAGCTGAAACTATGCCAACTTCTCAGTGTAGTATATCACAGGGGCTACATAAGTGTGCTGGAAACTGGCTGCATCCGGAATGGTAACTTGTTTGCAGAGGAACCTCTCTGGCCCTGTGAGGCAATGTGATGTGATGAGAATGCTTCTTCTTCAGCCCGCATTCAATAATTAGACCTCCACAGGTAACCCAGGACGTCCCTCCGGTACTACCTCTGCAGGCTAAGTCCCTGTGGTACTCCTCAGAAGGCTCCGAGAAGCCTGAGCAGTGGGTGTCAACAACTGTGCCCATGGCTCGGGGTCTGTTGGTCAGCATTTCCTACACCGTGGACATTTAACTCCTATCTGCTTTAATTTCAGTGGCTGGGAGAAAAAGTCACTAAGAATCTGCTTCTGGCTTTCCAGAACACGTTGGTTACAAGAAAGTTTTCTCCCGCAAAGTAATGGAAAATTGTTTCTGACAAGAGTCATTTCCTAGCTTCCATCCACTCTGTTGTTCTCACTTCACCAGAAACCAGATCTCTGAATTAGTGGTTCTTACAATGTGGTCTCCAGACTATCACCCTCCACAGTGGGCACCATTGGGGTTACAACAAAATGCAGTGTCTCAGTCCCCAGGCCAGAATCACCCAGCTCACTGTTGTGTGCTATCAGCCAGGAAATTCAGAAGTGTTTGTTTGAGGTCTTGTAAGGACATAAAGGAACATCAAAGGTGAAAAGTAGAACAAATGTTAATATCACTGTAATTTCCTTATATAGATGTTTCTTGGGCTCAGCTCCTTTGATCTGTTGGTTAGCAACAGCAAATGAAGCAGCCCAGTTTTTGAGAGGCCAATAGTTCATGGAGTAGGCTTACACAATACTTAGCAAGTAGAGCTAAAGTTCAGCAAGCATTGGCCGTGGGTATGAGTTTCTGGTAATCTGCTTGAACCCAAGAAAAGTTCAGAACAGGGTCTGCCCTTGATGTCATTGCTATAAAAGTTGTTTCTAGTGAAGCTGTGGAATGGGTTGTACTTCAGGGGTTTCAAAATTTCAGAGCTTGGTTTCTATCAATGCAACCCAAGATGAGCACCATTGTTCTGTGAGATTTGAAAGGAAGGAAACACCAACAGGAGTTTCCATTGTCCAGGATCTCTCTCGCTGTCTTGGATACCCTCAGTGTGTTCTGGTTGTTTTCCTTGGAGCCAAAAAGGAGGCTTGGAAGACAGCCTAGACCAGGCTAAGCTTCACCTGCAACCAAGTTACCTTGAGATCTTATTAAAATGTAGTTTCTGATTCCCTATCTCTGATGTCAGGCTTTGGGTTTTACACTTCTAACAAGCTCCCAAGTGGTGGTGATGCTGCTTGTGGTGAAGAAGTGGCTTGCTTGCCAGCCACAGGGAAGCAGTGAAGTGTAGTCCCACAGCTTCCCAAACACTGAGGTGTACACAATTCACCTCTGTATAAAAGCACCTCAAAGAATGGCTCAGGGTTCTAGGTGAATGCCTTCACCTGGGAGCCTGGCCAGGAAACAGAACCTGAAACCAGGCATAAAGAAACAGGCCTGTAATCCTAGCACTCTGGAGGCTGCAGCAGAAGGGCAGAGTGTGAGATTAGTAGCCTAGTTTACATATAGAGATAAGAGAGACAGAGGCTGAGAGGGACAGAGAGAGAGAGTCAGTCTCAGGCCCTGCCTCTAGTGTACCAGACCAGAACCTATTTTTTCAGCAACCTCCCCTCACCGTTTGCAAGTTTGAGGAGCTGCAGAGCTGATTTCATGACTATTGATTTGCAAACCCACATTTGGTTTTGCGTTCCACTTCCACCATCTGGAACTTCTCACATACAGAGGCCTTGGTGTTTTCATAGGGCCTCAGGCTCCATAAATTATATAGGTGATCCTGGATACACTGTTCTCTATCAGGAACCATCAAACTCCAGTCTGTATTCGATTCAGCTGAGCTCTCATAAACTTGATATTTCTGGTTTTCATAGAATGGAGTCAGGAATATGAGGGATGGTGGAGTTTACAGACCTTTCGTATGACTCTGATGTAAGTGTGAACCACTTTGTGTACCATGTTGTGAACTGGTACCCTGGCATCTCCCTAGTTGGGGCTTCTATCGCTCTCATGCCACATGTCAACACCATACCCTCCGTTTTCCCAGCATCGCCGGAAAATCCCCTAAGTGCTGCAAACTTGCTGAACCCGGGAGCAAAAGTACTTCTAATTGAGCAGATTTCCCCCATAGGAGCTCTCAGAAAAATGTCCACCTGTGTCTGAACCACCTACAATGGTTGTCAGGAAGCAGGCAGGAGTGTAAGGGCTCACTGGCAGTACTTGGCTCTTTTATTATTATTATTATTACTGATATTATTATTATTGATGGTAACAGACTACTTTGAGGATTCAGTAGAAGCAAAGACACTTTGGGGTTGGTTTTTTGACACTGCAAAAATACCCGAGCGAAACGCTTGAATGTAAGGTTTATTGTGGCTTGTGGTTTCACAGGTATGTATCCATCATTTTCGGTGAGGTGGGAAGTTGGAGCAGAGCAGTTCACATCGTGGCAGCAAGAATCAGAGAAAGAGGATGTTCTTGTGTCATCCCCTTGAGATGATGAACCGCAAATTCTTGGGGGATCTTTCTTCCTTCCCCCTCATCCTCTCAAAGATTAAACCCATGCATATAGTTTACTAGTTTCCAAGATTTTCTAAAGCCAGTGAACCTGGCAATCAGAATGAACCATGAAACCTTTCCACTGAAAAGGTCACCTTTGCACATTGTAAAGCACGCACAGTGGTAGGAATGAGACATTAATGGGGGGGGGGCTGTCTTCAGTGCTTTCTCTTTCATTGCATAAGACACAGGCAAGTTAGGAGCTCTGAAGTCCTGGTCTTCAGGACAGGAAATGGATTTGTGCATTTTCCTCAAAGATTTGTTGCAGGAACCCAGTGAGACAGTGTGAGTGTGTAAGTGCTTTATGCACTAGTGAGTGCAGCAATATGAGACTTCCTTGTACAATCCTTGCAACCCAGCTCTTCCTGGCATTGCAGTAAGGAGCACGGTGGCTGTGAATTTAGCTGTAGGCCATAGGGCATACTAGGTGTAACAAGAGAGGGAGATGAATACAGACAGAAAGATAGGATGAGAACTTGGCGAGAGTTACTGGGCGGTTTCAAAGTGCAGAAAAGAAAAGGAAGCTTCCCCAACTTGAGGACTCCAGATGCAAAAATAAAAAGAAAGGGAATCTATTTTTACAAGTGCAAACACTTTTGAGATTTTAGAAAATGTCTTTAGTCTAGCAATAATTGAACATTTCTGCCCTGGGTATAATGAAGATAAATAGCTGTCGTGGTGGTCCGTATTTAGTTTTGACTTCAGAAGCCTTCTGTTCGAATCTGCTATATTGAGACGAGTGGAAGGGTGGTTTGTAGTTAAAGCTCGCTTTCTGAGCCAGCACATATTAACCGTGAATTGGAAAAGCATTTAGCATCCTTGTGCAGGAATAATTTTTTCAATAAAAGTACACTTTACAGGGCTGTTGCAGCTACTGAACAGCTTAGCACACCCCAAACTCCCAGACCATGGCAATGGGGATCATAATTGTCCACACCACAGAGATCCTAGAGCTGAGCTAGGAGGGTCAGAAGTGTGTAGTGGTGTATTACTTGTATTTTGATAAATAAATCTTGCCTGAAGACCGGAGGCAAAGCTAAAGTCACTAGCGGTCAGGTAATGGTGACACACACCTTTAATCCCAGGATTTGGGAGATCGAGGCAGATGGATCGCTATGAGTTCAAGGCTACTCTGGGCTACACAACATCAATGCAGAAACAAACCCAGGTGGTAGTGGCTCACACATTTAATCCCAATCATATGGAGTCACACACTTTTAATACAAGCTCCAGAGGGAATATAAAATGAGAGAAGAGAGAGGTTTAGTCTGCTTAGTTTTGCTGTCGCCCAGCCTTGGTAGAGATAAGACTTCTCTAGTGACTTGACTGTCTTGCTTTTCTAGTCCTTGGGTTGAACCCCATTATCTGTCTCTGGGTTTTTATTTTTTGTGTATAGTAGTGTTTTAACATGCTAGATATTTCGAGTATGCAAGATGCCTTGTGTTTGCACTTAGAGGTTATTGAAATGATCATTTCTTCCCTTGGCATTAGTGACACTAAACTCCTCGGGATCTAGAAAGTTTAGACAGTGGTTGTTTTAAAGCCATAATCCTACAAGTGCCCTACTGGTGAGTTCGGGAATGTTCTCCCCATTGCCAAGCAAACTCAGGAAGTGCGTGTCAGTCCACTGAGTATAAAGGGGGAAGATGAGGCAAGATGAGACCGGTTAGCCTGGCTCTAATGGTCTCTGCTTTCTCTCTGGCCCTTTCACTTACCTGTCTGGTTTTGTCTTGCAGGTGTACAATTGACAACCGAGTCACCCGGGTGGCCTGGCTAAACCGCAGTACCATCCTCTATGCCGGGAATGACAAGTGGTGCCTAGATCCTCGTGTGGTCCTCCTGAGTAACACCCAGACGCAGTACAGCATTGAGATCCAGAATGTGGATGTGTATGATGAGGGTCCTTATACTTGTTCGGTGCAGACAGACAACCACCCGAAGACCTCGAGGGTCCACCTCATTGTACAAGGTGGGTGGGACTTGACTGGGAGGCCTGAATGAGGAGCTGGGAATGTCAGTGTTCATTGTTTGTTCCGTGACCCCAAACCAAGATGATCCTTACTGTTCTGCCCAGTGAGGACACCTTTTTTGTGGTCATCTTGCAGCTAGACACTGAACTTTGCAATAATTTACTTGTTGAGTTGAATTAGTGTTTCTTATATTCCAATAATACTTTTTTGTACAAAATTATCTTCTAATTATTGCTTTCCTTGGCTTTTCCTCCTCTGAGCATTTTTAAAATGTTGCACCCAACTACAAGTTTGCTTTATTTTAAGACCAGAATTTTAATGTTCTTCTGTTGCGGTACATATGCCTTGCCCTAGACCAGCCTTCAGTGACAGCAGAGCCAAGAAACAGTGATCTTACCTCAACCCAGGAACTTACCTCAATCACCCCCTCAATACACACACACACACACACACACACACACACACACACACACACACACATTCTGGTGTAGTATACCTGTTTTTCTTCATCCGATCCAGGATTTGCTCTCCCGTGCCTTACCTATAAGACTGGATTCGGGGTCCCTGCTTGGCTGGTCTTCTGTTCTCCTCTTGTTTGTATTTTGTAGGCTTATGGTTTGCTTGGGGCTTTGCTGGTATTTGGGTGGGTTCTGTGATATTTCTCTGGGTTCTACTCTCTCTGTTTCTCACATCATGGGGCTGGCATTCACTCTTCAGAAGTGGTCCTTGGGCATCAAACCACACTTAACAAATACATGCACTTCTGGTTACTGAGCAGCAGTTTTGAGACACATTGTCTGCTTTCTGATGGAGAGGCCTAAAACAAGTCTTACTGCACCCCAGGGGCCTCTTCTTGTGGAACAGGGTAAATGTGAGCAGTGGGGTTAGGATTACATTTTACACACAGATAAACCAAAGCACTTATGAGAAGGTCTGGCCCGTGGAGGAATATTTACCTGTTAGTCACTCTGCTCTTGTATGCTCTTTGTTTTTCTTTAAATCACATTGATATATTTAAGCTTGTAGTCATGTTTTACAGGAGGTTAAATACTTGTTTCATTCCCTCAGAACTGAAGATCCTGTAGAGTGAAATCCTAGATTAGAGTCCCCCCACCCCTCTCCCAGATCCCTGGCTCTCTTCATCCAGTGAGATGGCAGGGGTCAGGCAGGGCAGGGAAGTCCCCCTTGTAGCCTGCCTTCCTGGCAGGATGCTCCAGAGTGGGGTGAAAAGCTGGGCTGACTGGTGAGAGAGAAAGAGTGAAGGGGGATTGAAAAGGGCAGATTGTAAGAGCAAGGGAAAGTCTCCGTGAGAAGATGAAGAAAGCAGACTGGGATCATGAGTCAGAACTGGGAGAAGCAGGGGAGGGGGAGTAGTCATGAGAGGGGAACAGGTTATGATAAGGGGACACCCAGGTACAGTTTAGTCAGAGGTGAGGGCAGCAGTACACTGGTAGCTATCAGACTGCGACAGAGTGTGGTCACATCAGGGTTTTATAACTTTTGCTTATAGTGTGTATGTGTGTTTTAACCAAAGGAAATTATGATGTTTTTCTTCCTTTCTTTTAAAATTTTGAGTATTTTCTTTCCAAACAGGTTTTTGGAAATAGTGTTTTAAAATAGAATTGCATAGCTGGTGTTTGTGTGTGTTATAAATAGCAGACTAGGTACCGCTGTGTGAGATTTTTGTCTGAGCGTGTGTACATTTTCAACACACAATAGGTTTTCATAGTAGATAGATAGACAAAATAAAAGTTAAGAGTCGTCATTCTGTGGGGAGGCTTGTTGAACACTCCAGGGAAGCCACCTGAGATCTCTACCAGGCAGCAGGTACCTCTGAAGCCTGTCCTCAGGCGGAATGAATTGCAATGACCAAGAAGGGGTTGAAATTTTGAGCAAAGTTTTGCTACAGAAAGAATCACCATCATGGGATGAGAAAGGGGATGAAATGGAAAATTCTAGCACTTCTTAGAAAACAAGAAAGCAGGTTTTGGTCAATGTTTGTCTATTTGTTTTCCTCTGCATCTCCTTGCACACACCCACACGTGCCTTCCCTAAAGAGTGGACTGGCTTGTACACATTGGGCATTTAATGAATGATTACTGAAGTAAATGTCTGGAATTATAGTGCAAAGATCCTACATGGGCTCTAAGAAGGAAGGTGGACTGTTTGGGAGGTGGGACAACAGGAGGACAGGAGTGGATGCACATCCATCCTCACTCACGTCCAAGCTAATGGAAAATGGTTAATCCATAGCCAGGTGTTTACATCTGTGACTTGGCTAGGTGCCCTCTTCCCATGACACACCATCTCGAGTATTGGAATCTCATCTTGGGCTAATTTTCGAATGCTGATGGGTGTATTGATCTGGAAACAAGCTGGGTTAAAAAAGGCATTGGTCTTGTACACAGACTCAGCCCAAGCTAATCCGCTGTCAATATGCCTGGACTGAGCATTATTGACACGTTAATGAATAGAGGACCATAGTTTTTCCAGAGTCAACCTGTCCCGTTCTTCAAGGCAATCAGACAAGCTAAATAGAGCCAGACTCTGTATTGGAAAGAGGATATACTACCTTGCAGGATTAAAAAAAGAAATATATTTATCTTGGGATCATTTATTATACTGAACAGAGATCCTAATTCCCTTAGCAGAAGCTGACTGTCTGAATTTAAGTTGCTTTTCAGCCAAACACTGCTGGAATGCAAGTCAGGCACCTCGAGTTCTCCAAATTGTATTGCGATGAATTAAAAAGAGAAATACAAACATCAGTAAGAGCAAAGAAGGGACCTAGTATTGTACCCATGTGGCCTTAGAGCTGTATAGCCAGCAGGATGTGTGCTCGGGAGAAACGACACTGCCACCACCTCTCGCGATCTGTCTGAAGTCCAAGATTATTTGTCGCATCCTGACTGTCAAATATCCCACACAGTCCATTAGTTCTTCATATCAGGTCTTTCTTTACAGTTGCGATTCAAAATGACTGGCTCTTAAGCATAGTCATGACACCATAACCTCATTTGCCCCAGAAGCAGCCATGAACTCATTCATTCCGTCCTACAATAATCAGTCTCTGAGAAACATTGCCAGCAGTGTGTTCCCATGGCTTGGAACTTCGTACCTAAGGATGAACACAATGTTGCCCCGGAAGACACTTCTGTGTGGAGAGGTAGAATGGTGTGTCACTTTTCTAAATCATTCCCAAGAATCTATGTGAGTACAGATGCTGTTGTCTGAATCTCTCCTCTGTGTGAATATGGATGCTGTTGCCTGAATCTTACTCTGTAAGTTGATTGCTTTATTTAATTTGTTTTATAGATTCTCCTAAACTCTTTTCATCTCCTCATGATGCTAGGAAAGCATGGTTTCTAGAGCAGGTCTGGTCAGGTCCCTCAAATGTGGAGTGGATTCAGTCTGGGCGGGGTTGGAGTTTATAGCCCTCACTCATGGCAGACACAGGCGGAAGAGGACGTGGAGGAGCAGCTATCGAGGTGTTCACAAGAGCCATTGTGAGTCCCGGTGAAAGGAACAGGGCATGATTGGCGAGACCCATTGGCCCTTCAGTGAGAATCCAAGGAAGAAATAGAGGCACTGATCTCAGTCTCAGGGCCAGGGATGGTCAGCCTGAGCAAGAGAAGAAAGATGCTTAGAAACTGTGGAGTCAGGAACTTGGAAGGAGAAGGATCCAGGTTGCAAAAAGAGCCCAGACAATTATATAGGCCAAGGTTGGAAAACATTCGTGTCTAGAACAGCTTGGAACTTGTGTTGAAGGCAGGTAGAAGAGAATGTATGGGGAAGGAGTGGACTGAATGACTGTGATAACTAGGGACTCACTAGAGTGACAGTTTAAAAGAGCAGAAATCAAACAAGCCCGTCTTCAGTCCTAGGAGCCGTGTTTTCTAACACACTACATAATGCAGACGCAGAGCACGGACCTGAGCTTCCATCACGGAGAACATTAGCGGACAGTGCTACCAGGGGGCACAGGTATGGTGAGGGTGTTTCCCTGCCATAAGGGCCGGGTGTGGAGTGGAAACAGATTTTGGAGAGAAGACGGAAATAAGAAAAGATGCTATTCTTTTAAAAACAGAAGTTGCTGAGTGCAAGACTGGGGCTTTTTTCTTTTTTTTTTAAAAAAAATATTTTTATGGTTTATTTAACGTTATTTGATGTGCATTGGTGTGAAGGTGTCAGATCCCCTGGAACTGGATCTACAGACAGTTGTAAACTGCTATGTGGGTGGTGGGAATTGAACCCGGGTCCTCTGGAAGAGCAGTCAGTGCTCTTAACCACTGAGCCATCTCTCCAGCCCCCCCTGGGGCTCTTTTCTTAGCAAGGACAGAGAAGAGAAACTGAATACAAAGGCGAATGAATGCAAGGAAGATGGCACCCAGAATGTGGAGACTAAGAAATGTCTCTCAAGGTTTTACATAACCAGTTAGGCAGTCAGAACATAGTCTTTTTTTTGGATGGAATGGGAATGGGGCAGCTCAGCATTGAGTGACAGACACTCTAGGACCCAGATTTGTTTCTAAGAGTCTATGTTAGGTGGCTCACAATCACCTATAACATCAGTTCCGAGGTTCCAATGCCCTCCCTCCTCTGGCTTCTACAGGCACAAACAAATGCACATTACAAATAATTAAGAAGCAAATGAACCTGGCAAAAACCATGTCTATCCTATAGACCTTCAGATTTCATCTTCCTGGGTATAATTAATAAGCGTCTGCTTCTGAAATCTAGCTGCTTGTTTGAGCTCTCGATTTTGCTGCTAGACCAGCTTCACGTGTATTCGAAATGGCGGTGCTGTTGTCTCAGTTGGCCCCATGGAGGAAGTGAGACCTTGGAAAGCAGAGAACAAAATGCTCACTGCCCCTGAATCATTTGTCAAGTTGCAGGCTGCTGGAGAAGACATTTAAGAAGCGCTTTGTCCCCCAAATCCTGTTAGTGTTTATACAATCCAAAGCCCTACAGCAGTGACTACAGAACAAGAAAGGCCTTC